ACGCCCCCTACAGGAAGAGGAGGAAGAGGGCACGCCCCCACCAGAAGCGGAGGCTGAAAGCGCGTCCCCTCTCTCACCTGAAGAGAAGCATGAGGGCCTGGAAGAAGGTCCGAAAATTATTGTGCTCAGTGATTTGGAACTCATCCTCATCACTGTCCTCATCCTCCACGTCGATGCCGATGTTGCCAAACACCTGGGGAATCGGAGCGTGATGACCGGGGGCAGCCATGCCCTCAACGGCTCCAGGGAAACCCACTCAATCCCCATGGCGGTCTCTCCAAACTGGGTCCCCCTGACCCGCCCTGCCTGAGGACGGTGGCCGTCCCGGGGGGGGGCTCTGGGAACATTAGGGGTGGGCACTCACCTGCATCCCGATGATGGCGTAGATAAAGAAAAGCATGGCAATCAGCAGACAGACATAAGGCAAGGCCTGGTGGGAAGGAAGGCAATAAAGGAGAGTGCGGGCGGGGGGGGGGGCCGGCGGGGTTGCCTCTCGGCCACACCATTTCCCTCCCTTGTCCCAGAGCGCCACCCCACAGGGTTGGGCGGTCCCAGGCTGTGCCAGAGTGGTGCCAGGGCTTTTGGTGGGCCTCTTTGAGGCCGTGGTGGCAGGGTATCAGGGGGATTCCCCTTGGAGCTCTCCAGCCGCCCCAGGAGCAGGCGGTCTAGAGAAACAGACGCTCAACAAAGTGCACCACACAGGCATTTCCACCCGATCTGTACTCTCAGCCAGAGCAGGGATGGGGGGTATGATCTTCTCAGCCCCAGGCTGGCTTCAGGGGCTCACCTTGAAGGACTGCACAAAGGTCCAGAGAAGGATTCGGATGGTGTAACCCTGTCGGAGGAGTTTGATGAGCCGGGCAGCTCGGAAGAGGCGGAGAAAACTCAAGTTGATGAAGTTATTCTGGGGAGATGGAGAGAAAAAGGGTGACTATCCACCCACCCCCAGGGGCTCAGAGCCGTCACCACTCACAGAGGCCCCTACATGAAGCCAACCAACAGGAAAAGCAAGCCAGACCCCAAATAAGGAGGGAGAGAAAGCACTATTTAATGCAATGGTGCGGAGGAAAAAACGTCGAAAAGGGAACAAAGTTTGGGAGGTGGTGGGGGGGGGGGGATAGGGTGGGAGGAAGGAAGAGGCAACTCAAAAGCATAAACCCTCCCGGCCAGCCCCACCCGCAATGGGGAAAAGGAAAGAAAAAGGAAGGAAGAGAAAGGAACCGGGTGGGGTGGGGGTGGGGAAGAAATAACAAAAGAACAAGGAAAAGAAAATATATCCGAATCATCCAATCAGGAAAAAAATCGAGATGGTTTTTGTTTCTCCCAACAACCAAATGCACTGAGACGATAGGACACAAGCGGGTCAAGTTGCCGAATCCATCACACGTGTACGATGCACAAACACCAGGGCGGGGTGGGGGCAGCCAGCACGCTCAGGCCTGGCGGACATGTGCGGGTTCCCAGGGCATGTTACGCTCCGGGCCAGAAATGCATCTGTCGTGGGACTCAACGGGCACCTGCCCTGCCCTGCCCTGTAGCGCTGCCCACCCGCTCCTGCCCGCCCTGACCTCACCCCACGGCCAAGAGGAGCAGCGGCTTGAGCCAACCGGAGAAGCGAAAGAGCATCTTTTCTTACCCCCTTGGCGAGCGGGAATGGGGAGGACGGGAGGGAGCTGGGGCTGGTCGGCTGCAGGGCGAGTCCTCGCTGCCCGCTGAGTCGGAGAAGATGCATTTGGGGCCCTTTTCCCCCCTCTCAGGGATGGCTTCTCAGCTTCTGGGGCTGGGTGGAGTAGCTCGGGACCAGGCCTGCGGGAAGCAGGAAGTACGCAGCGCCCGTGGGTGGGTGAGCTGGCAAACAGCCCAGGCCCACCGAGGGGCCGGGGCTGGAGGTGGGGCCGTCCCTGCCCCCAGGACCTCCCTGGGTGGACCCTGCCTCAGCTCACGGGCCCCCGGTCTAGTCACTGCCTCTCCCTCCTCCCGCCCAGCCGCCGGGAGAACTTCCCAGGGAAGGGGGGGGGGGGGGCAGCCAACTGGGAGGGGAGCGAAGAGACCAGGTGGAGAAGGGGCGCTGGCTGGCTGCCCCAGGGGGTGGGGGCCTGCCTGCTGGGGCCTCAGGGTCGCCGCTGGGTGGGGGGCAGGAAGCTCAAAGTCACAAATGGCTGACGGAGCTGTCTTGTTGGGCCTCGGCAGTTTTTGTTTTGTTTCGATGAAATATAGTTGCCAGTGTTTAAAAGTCTGACTTCTCCCCCAAATCTGACTTGCTGGCAACCCTGGGCCTGCTTCCAGGTTGGCAAAAATTAGCTGGGGCTCAGATGTGGCTGGCCCCCTGAAACAGGCCACACGTGCCCTCCAGGATCCTCCAGGATCCTCCCCAGTTACTGTATCTTGCCTGTATCCGACCTGGGAGCTGAGAGGCAGGGATGGGGGTCCGAGACATTTCTGGGGCTCCAAGAGGCCTCTGGATTTGCTGGCCAAGTCTAGGATGCCTCTGGGGACACATCAGTTGGTCCTTAGGCCTCTAGGATGGGGGTGGGGGCTGGGAGATCCTACCTTGACCATACTGGGCCCAACCACCGTGAGACTGTCCCAAGGGCTTCGAATACGCTCCCACACCCAGCTCAGCTGAGAGTCACCCCCTGTGCCCACTGACCTGACACCCAGCCCTGCCTGGCCACCCAGCTCTACCTGGGGACGGGGCCGATGGCCCAGGTGTCCCCAGCCCCTCCCGACCATCCCCAGAGTACAAGCCATCCCTTCACGGGGCGGGTCATAACATGGGGACTCTGCCCAGCATGCAAAAGCAGGCGGGCCCTGGAGCAGCCTCCGGGGGCTCAGGGTAGAGCAGGGGGGAGCCTGTCACCATGCGGGAGAAGCAAGGGGGTGTTGCAGGGAGACGCGTGCAGAGAACATGCTGCCCTTCTTGGAGCTGAGGGAGGAGACACATGGGGGAGGTAGGGGGTGGAGATGACAGAGGTCCAGGTGACAGGGTAGGGGAAGGAACTCATCTGCCCTCCATCTCTTCTTGGTTCTGCATCGAGTCCTTCAAGTGCTCGCAGAACTGGCGACTTCCCTCTTCCTAGCTCCCGCTTTTCCATCCACAAGCCCGGAAGGAGCAGCTATGCTGTCCTTCAAGGCTGCCCTGTGCTTCCTGGTTCAAGGGCGATGGGGTGGGATGCAGGCCCCGGAAGGCTTGTGGTGCTCAGGGGCGCGAGAGCTCAGAAAGACATGGGAACCAGCCACCTGAGGGCTCCAGAGAAATCCTGCCCCCGGCAGCCCCCATCTCAGCCGACTTTGCCTCTGAGCTCCAGACCCCGTAACCACTCGCCTGGCCCGACTTCTTCCAGGGTGCTCTTAAAGGCACCTCAGACCCGCCACGGCTGTGCTCTACACCTGTTCTCTTCTCCTAACCTGCTCCTCTTCTGGCATTCCCTAGATTCTATCTCCCAGTTCAAGCCAGACTCCCATCTCTCCAGGTACCTTCCTCCCCCAGTCCAGACCTAACCCATCCCCGGGTCCCGGAGAAGCCCCTGCTCAGACGGCCAGTCCCCTCTCGCTGGGGATTCCCCCTTGCGGCCCAGCACCGGCCCCCCGGCGCGCCCCCCCTCCCTCCCCGGCCGCCAGCTGCGGCCCAACGGCCCCCCCTCCCGGCCTAACACACTTACCCCCTGCTCTGAATGCTCCCCTGCTTCCGCTAGGCCCCAGGGGCTTATCCCCTTCCGCCCTCTTCACTTTTCCTGGGTCAGCCTTCCCTCCCTCTCTTTGCTCCAGCCACACCCCCTCAGCTTGCAGACCCCGACCCCTGCATGATTCCTCTTGACACAGGGCCTTTGCTCGTGCTGTTCTGGGCCTCAAATGCCCTTCCCCCCACTCTTTTGCCTTGTTAACACTGCTCATTCTTTAGCTCCGGACCCAGTTATAACTTCAGGTGGCTTTCAGCGCCTATTCGACCAATGCCCAGCTTTCCCACTTCGACCCGGGAGGCGGTGTCAGTGATGTTGCCCCCTTCAGCCCGCCACTCCATTTGCAGCACCGAATTTGCAATCTTTCAACGTTTGTTTGGCGGATGACTGCATGTGGTACCGGTTGCGGGTGGGGAGGGGTCCTGGCGCAGAGATGCCATTCCGGGAGTCCTTCAACGGGGCTCTGAGGTGGCGGGCGTGGGGCGGAGGCAGATGGAAGGTACCAGAATGAGAAGTGAGCACGGAGCTGAATCCGTGAGGCGACAGAGGAGATGGTGTGTGCTGTGACAGGGCATGCGGGGGGGGGCAGGCTGGATGGATGTAACAGGGAGGGACAGGTGTGCGTGTGTGTGCGTGTGTGCGTGTGTGCCTGTCGTGGGCAGAGGAGAGAGAGGAGGAGCACAAGAACAAGAGAGGAAGGGAGAGAGAGGGCGCATGTGGGAAGGGGGCGAGGGCACCTGTGTGCCTTGACTGTGTGTACGGGGGCGGTGATGTGAGCACGTGAAGGCCGGGGCTCTGGGAGAGGGTCTCGTCTGGCCGGCCCGAGTCCTGGCCCTTCCGTGTTTCCCTTGTCTGGGAGTGTTTGCCTGCCTGCTGTCCGGCCCTCCAGCCTCCTTGGACTTGGGAGATTTACATCTCTAGAAAGTCACACCCACGGGCCTGGAGTTTCCCGGGGCCCAGGCCCCATGGAGCTGATCGGGGGGGGGGGGGGGCCACAGGAGCGATGTCTGGGTGTTGCAGGGGCTCGGCGTGTAGGGACGCGTGTACGGGATGGGGCGGGAGGCCCACCCAGCTGATGAGTCCTGCTGGAGCAAACCCTTTGCTTTGCAAAAGACGCAAACCAACCCACACAGAAAACCCTAACTCAGAGCCCAGTAAAAACGAGAGAGAGAGAGAGACAGAGAGAGAGACAGAGAGAGAGACTGCAGGAAGGAGGAGGGAGGGGGTGGGCTGGGGAGACAGACAGACAAGACGGGGAAGGGGTGCTGGGGGAGGGCGGGATGCATCAGGCAACCCAAGTCCAGAAAGCCCAGGGCGGGACGTGCAGTGCTGGTACGAGAAGATGCGTTCACAGTTAATGTAAGGCATTTAGACTTCAGAAAGAAGTAAGACCAACCGGATTCTAGATGCAGATGTTGAAGATGGAGGGGGAGCGGGCGGGCGGGGGCAGTTGGGGAGGCGTGTTCAGCGTTTTTTAGGTTGATTTGTAACCAGTGCCAAAACACCAATGGGTTTCGGTTCCCGGGCGGGGAGTGGGGGTGGTGGGTTGGGAGATAGTCATTGGTGTATGAACACACAGACCATGTCATGGATGAACAAATGAATTTCATAGTGCATTTTGATTGGATGAGTTTTTCAGACGGCGTTGTGCCAATATACAGTTTAAAGAGCAGGCATGAAAAGAGACAAGACAAGAAACAGTCATTAACCATCGCACGCAGGGCAAACCCCCGTCACCCGGCCACTAGGGGGCGGCAGCTGAGGCCCAGTGGGCCTCCAGCCCTTCCCCCTCCCGCACAACCCTGGGGATCTGCCCTCCCAAGCGTCTGGCGCCCCCTGCCTCAGCCTGGCGGGGTTCATGGCCTGAACCTGGCGGGCTTACCTGGGAGGCAGAGAGGGGTGGCCGTGGGCTCCTTGCCCCGCAGGGCAGGCCTCCCCTCAGCCCAGGTTGGGAGGAGCGTAACATCCCGAAAGGGTCCACACACCCAGCCTCCACCTTCCCCCTCCAAAGGATTCTGATCCAGGGCCCCGGGGGGCTGGGGTGGGGGAGGTGACTGGCAAACCCAAGTACAGTAGAAGGCCCACTGCAGACCCAAGGACGCTCCCAGTAATAATAGCAACAGCTGTAGCAATAAGAATAACAACCGCCATTTGTGAACGATCTATTTCCTGGCAGGCTCTGTGCCAAACCCTTCACGTGGCTCGCTCACGCGTGTTAAAGGTTGCCAGCTCCTTCCCTAGAATGCCGGCCCTGTGCGGGCGGGCGTTCTTGTCTGGTCTGGCTTTGCTCACGGTCTCCAGCACCTACGACGGTGCCCGGCACACAGCAGGCGCTCAATGAGTGCCTACCGGATGCATGTGTGAACGTGAAGCTGGCAAGGACCCAGGGAGGTTAGTTACAACAGTTATCCCCACGCTACAGGAGCAGAGGTGATGTAGGCTGGCAAAGTCAAACAGCTTGTGGGGAGGGCTGCTGGGCTCACTGAATAGCCCTGATGCCCTTCCCTGTCCTGCCAGTCCGGAGCCCGGGCCGAGGGGGTCCAGCCCTATGGACCGCTTACTCCTGGCCCCTGGAGGTTTCAACTAACTCCCTCCACGTGCTCTGCGGGGGGTGCGGGGCCACCCTTCCAACCTCTTGTACTGGTTCAAAGCTGTCTTGGGGCGCCTGGGTGGCGCAGTCGGTTAAGCGTCCGACTTCAGCCAGGTCACGATCTCGCGGTCCGGGAGTTCTCGAGCCCCGCGTCAGGCTCTGGGCTGATGGCTCGGAGCCTGGAGCCTGTTTCCGATTCTGTGTCTCCCTCTCTCTCTGCCCCTCCCCCGTTCGTGCTCTGTCTCTCTCTGTCCCCAAAATAAATAAACGTTGAAAAAAAAAATTAAAAAAAAAAAAAACAAAAAAAAAAACAAAGCTGTCTTGTGCTCAGCTGGGTGACTGCCAGTCGGAGCTCTGGATCTCTTAGAGACTCAGGACAGAAGATGAGGCCGGGGCTCTGGTCCTCTGCCAGAGCACGGGGCCCAGGTCGGGGACACCCCCGCTGACCTCCCTAGAGGAAGGTGTTAGGGATGGGACGAAGGGAAGGGAGAATTTCTGGCTCAGTGGAGCTCAGGGCAAAGAGGTATGGTCAGGATACCACTTGGGAGGGAGGTGCCAGGGGACCCATCAGAGAATGGCCTCCTTTTCTGTGTAGCTCTTTCGTCCCGTCGGCCTTCCAGGATGGGAGAATGGGTCCATCGACCCCTTTCTGCTGGGGGCTCTAATGGGCCACCCCAGGGCCACCCCTGAGCCTCAGGAGTTACCAGGTCTGGGTGCGTGCACGACCTCGGGCAGGTCCCTCGCTTCCCCGAGCACTGGGCACTAGCTTCCTCATCTGTGAAATGGGGCAACACCCTCTTCCTCGGGCCACACCCCAACCAGGTGTATTCTCCACTTTTCTCTGCTTGTTCTGAGCACCTCCCCCGCCCCCTGCTGCCTGGCCTTCTGGCTAGGCTTGGCCAACGGGAAGCACTGGCAGGAGATGGAGGGCGGGGGGAGAGATGGGCTTGGGTTATTTCTCCCCTGATGCCCTGAGCCTGCTCTGGCCTTCCTCTCGGGCACAGGCTCTGTCCCCGCAGGTCCACGGCTCCTGCTGGGCGGCCCCTCCCCACCCCAGCTCAGATTTCCTCCCCGCTTCAGCACCTGGGCAGGTGACAGCTCCTCACGGTGGCTGGGTGCCCCGCGCTTTGCCATCCTGGTCGGCCCTCTTCCCCTCAGTCTCTCTGTGAGTAGTCTCTGCTTTCCGATCCCTTCAGTTAAACCCTCGCAAAGGAATCCTTTTATCTACTGACCCCCTGACCTGTACCACGAGCTGATCCACGTGAATCGCTTGGCACTGTGCCTGCCACGCAACTAAGTCGGCCATTATTTTTACTGCTATTTTGATGAGGGCTCCCAGGCCTGGGCTTACTCGAAAATGGCCAAAGAGGGTATCTGAGATAGGAGCTCTGGGGCCCTGAGTCTCTCAGATGAGGGGGAAGGATGATGTGGCCTATGGGGCCACCACGGAGGTCTAGGGACCGCCCCCCTCCCCAAGCTGCAAGCCTCCCAAGCCTGGGGACAGAAGAGGGTGGACATCCTGGGGACCTAGGAGTGGGATCCCCTGTTGGCTCCAGGGCCACGGCTCCCTCCTCAACCTCCTTCCACGAACCAGAAGATGGTTAGTTCAAACAGAACGGACTTGAAGCTCGTTCTTTCTGGGTCCCCAACACTGTGTGGGGTTTGGGGGTAGGGCTCAGCCTTGGGATCCTTTAATTATCTCAATGCACTCATCCATATTATTGATTCAAGGGTCAACAGCTGAGATGCAGGAAAGTTCACACTGCAGTGCTGGCCCCACAGCTGTGGCTTTGGGCTCCCCCGTCTCCCTGAGCCGCCCTCCCGAGGGGCTGCCCTTGCCCCTGGGGTCCCCGCTTCTCCCTCTTTGGTCACAGTCAAGTGCTGGCCCGAGTCAGCTGTGGCTTTTGGGACCGCTGCTTTTGGAAGGTTCCCCCCCACCCCCAGCCACCCATTCTCCACCCAGCCAGGAGCTACCCAGAGAGAAGCTGGTGGGAAACTTACCCCAAACTCAGTCACGAGGATGTCGGTGATGCTGCCCAGAACAGTCACAAAGTCGAAGATGTTCCAGGCATCACGAAAATAATTCTAGAATGGGGACCCACAAGACAGAGATGCCAACACAGGGCTCCACGCCCGGCTGCCACGGCCGGCCCCGGGGTGCATTAGGGGCACGGCTGCTGATCAGCCCGAGTGCCCACAACACGCGTGGTCATTCAAATAGCAAAGTGCTGCTGTATGGGCTGCTTAATATCACCTGCTCTGAGTCCCCCTCCCTGGGACCCCCATGGCTCTCCTGGCCCCAGGGGGGGCCTCCAAGGCCCGGTGTCGCTCTGCTGGAGAACAAGGGCTGTCCTTTGGGCTTGCCTATCTCTCTGACATATCTGAGGGCTCCCTGAGACCCGAGATGCTTTATAAACGATGTCACTGGGATCCTCACATGGACCCTCAGAGCAAAGGATTGTCACCTGCTTTACCCAAGGCGACGGAAGCTCGGAGTGGGATGCTGCTCACCTCAGAAGGTGAAGGGTCAGGACTGAACTCAGCTCGAGTCTAGGGTTTGTGTTCAAGACCGCACCTGCTACAGCATGCTCGCTAAGACAGTGGACTGTGGGTTCGAATCCCAGCTTTGTTATCATCCTGCTGTATGGCTGTGGGCCAGTGACTTAACCTCTCATTTCTTCCACTTCCTAATCTGAAGAAGGGGAAAGGTAACAGGGGCATGAAACGCCTTCGGGGCACGTGCCAGGCTGCACTTTCTGGTCCCCTTGCGGTTGGACGGGGCCGCCTGTGTCTAGTTATAGCCAACAGGTTTTGCGCAGAGAAATATTTGTGAAAACATTCCACACCGTTTGAGCCCATGCCGAGCAGCACCTCTGTCTGAATCCAAGGGTCTGGTTCAAACAGACAGCCCTCCCCTCCAGGCTCAGTGGGACCCACACCTAACACAGGCTTTCTCAGCACCGTCACAAAGCGGGGACCAGCTTGGGGCTCACAGGTCCCCTTCTGATTGGTCTGTTCCTCCCCTGAGCGTCTGGCCCTGAGGCAGCCCCTCTGCCTCACAGAGAAGGACTCAGGCTTTGGAGCTGTGCTTTCCAGGCTCAAACTATTTTCAGCGCGTAGGAATGAAAAGGGTCTCAGAGTTGGGACTGGTTGGGCCTTGGAGCCCTCTTCTGGAAGACAGGGGTATAACAGCAATCAGATAATGAATGTGAAGCGGCGGGGGGGGGGGGGGGTAGGGGTTGGAGTTTGGTTATACAGCAGGTGC